TCCGGCCACCTGCACTCACCAAGCGAAACGCAGAGGTAAACCTCTACTTCACGCTGGTTTTTTGTGAGGTCGTGGTACCACCCCGGTTCGAGCCGGCCCATCCATGCGATAGCAAAAGGTGCCGCGTGGCTCTACCACTGTTAAAACTTTCTGATGCGACATGGCACACATTGGCTCACTATTCGTTTCGTTGTGGGTCTAAGTCTTATAACCCAGTAATGTTGTCGAACCTCGTTAATTGTAGGTTCGGTTCCGCAATGATGTAGGCTACGATGCGTCCAGTCTATGTACAATTGGGTGATGTGATGATCACCATCCAATATAGCCGGACCTTTCATGTCTTTCGAGACTCCCTTCGCAGCGGCTATGCGACTTCGCAGCGCGATGATCCCATCTTTTAATTCTATCTGGAGCGGTCTCAGGCGGCTATCATGGGCGACCTTCTTATTGTTACGGAGATCGTCTATTTCTTGGCTGAAGGAGTCCCCTTGTATGACACGTATTAGGATCTTTTCGGCCTTTCTGATGAATTCGGCCTCGAGTGTGATGTGCCTTTTGATATCTGAGGTTTTTCTTTGACTGGAGGATTGTGTGCGGTGTTGCGGATTGTCTTTTGCTTTCCTCCAGTCGGGATCTTTTTCTTCATTCCTTCTAGTCCTTTTGTAGAAGGTTCTGTCTGTTGTTTTACGGCAGAGTGTAATAAATTGAAGTACTCTGGCCGTCGCTCGCAATAAGCGTTCCCATTTCGAAAATTTTGCTGGATTTGGGATGGCTTCTCTTATTACCGGAGCTCTATGTGATTCTGTAATGGTGAGGCATTTTTCCTCACCGGTGGGTTCGGATGACGTGGGTCTTTCGGTCGGCCATGCTGACGGTTCTTGGTACAGAAACGATGGGCCGTTGTACCACTCGTGGTTCGAGTCGAAGTTAGGTGGTACGTCCCTCGTAGCGGTGTGAGCTATGTTCAATTTGGTAGGTACCCAGCGCCAGTCATCTACTTTAGTATGGTCACTTATGGTTTCCTCGCTTGTGTGCAGCTCATTGGCCGCGTGGACACGCTGATACGGGGCTTTAGTGTGTGCCCCGTGTAGCACCCATCCTAATTCTGTGAGCGAGGCGATTGGTTGGTGCGGCGGACCTCTGCGAATTTTAGTGGCTATCAGGAGTCTCCAATTATCTTGTCCTATTAAGATCTTTGGGTTGCCGGAGTCATATATTAATTTCTCCTTTAGGTCTTTTAAATGTCTACAATTTTCTATATCTCTTGCACGCACAGTCTGTGGTCCCAAGTTTAGGCTGGCGACCGTGCGTGCTCTGAATGGCACCCTTTTCCTGTGGAGACTCTTGAGCGAAACTTTGACTCGTCGGGAGTTCGGCGAATCGAGGGTATTGTTCCCGATGGCGGTGATCTTAAAGGGGTCCAACCGCCCTGTTGCTCCAATTTGTTTGGCTATTTCCTCATCCATTAATGAGACTGTTGACCCATCATCCAGCAGGGCGTGTGTATTTACAGCTCCCGCCGGTCCAATTACTCGGACTGGTATTATTTTTAAGTAAGCGTGATGTTTTGACACGGCGAATGAATTTGCAACTGTTTCCTGAGGTTCTATTTGTGTGACCTCCGTTTTCTCCTTTTTATAATGGTGGAGAAGTCTATTGTGTGTCGCGGTGCATCCTTTTATTTCACACTTCGTGGTTTTACATTGGTGTGTTTGGTTTTTGTATCGCAAACACCGGAAACATAAATTATATTGTTTTGCGAGTTCCCATCTTTTGTCGGTATCCGCTTCTTTAAATTTGTTACAGTCGGATCCGTAGTGGCCTTCCTTTTGGCACACTCTGCACTTCGGAGACGGCTTAGTGGTAGCCGTGTGTGTCCTATGTACTGGACGATTGCTTTGCGCTCCGTTTATAATTTCAGGAGGCGCAAATGCACTACAGTAGCGAGCTTGTTCGGTGATAAACTCGCTGAAAGAACCGAGGTCTGGCCTAGAGTCGTATTTTTCGGTATAAACTTTATACCACTGTGCCCGTATAGAATTGGGCAATTTATCTGTGAGGTGTCGTAGCAGCTCTGCGTTGATGAGATAATGGTCTCGTTTGAGTGCCCGTAGAGTGACGACGCTTCCCCTCACTTTGCTTGCGAATGTGCAAATATCTCTAGGCGCTTCTGTACAGCGTGGCAATCCTCGTAACTTTTCGGTTTCAGCTTGTGCAATTGAGTCTGGACGCCCAAATTGTAGCTCCAGTTCTCGCATGATCTCATCCGGCTTAGCATGCCCGATGAGTTCTGAACTAACTGTCTCCAAGGCTCTTCCCTGTAGACTTCTTCGTAGTCTTGCAGTATTTTCGATATCGTTGAAGTAGCCTCGGGTTGTTTCATAAATGGCACGGAACGATAGCCATTCGGTATGTGCTCCGCTAAAGCACGGCAGTGTCATTATAGCTTTCGACGCTGCGAAAGTATGCGACGATGCACTCTCTGGTTTTGGTTTGTCAGCGAGTGCGGCTATTGCGGATGTGAGCTCTGATATAAATGGTCGGAGCCCTCTGTCTTCATTTATGACAGATGCCTGGTTAGGCTTCGTTGGCATGGGATTCTTCGTTACGTCTGCCGGATAGGGATCCTGGTAGGTGAGCTCTGATACAGCTGGTAGGAGCTCCCTGTCTTCATCAACCTTCGATTCCTGGCTAATTTTTAGTGGCACAGGATTCTTGGGTACTTCTTCCGGATCGTGATCCTGGTAGGTGGGCTCTGATACGATTGGTAGGAGCCCCCTGTCTTCAACAACCTTCGAACCATGGTTTGTGAGCTTCTTCTGCGGCTCACTGAGGTCGACAACCTCCGGGGGTGGCCTTGTGACGGTTTTGTTTAGTGGGGCCTCCCCTCCGGTGGCGACGCCATGAGTTGGCTTTTGCTTGGCTACGGTATTTTCGAGCCAAGATCGGACGTACTCGCTTTTAGAGTGACCATCTTCATCATAGTCGTCCGAATCATCTTCTTCCTCAGCCATTTGCAAGGAAATTTGTGCGAGTTCCAATTTAATTCTCAGCACTTCTTCACGAGCCTTCAAAACTTTTTTATTGGGCCGAATAGTCCTCTTTGACTTTATACTTTTATTTCGGTGGCCCCTGGGTGGCTCTTCGGTGCGGGAGTCTTCCCGGACTGTTGGCGGTGATGCACATCGAATGTCATCGTTGCCCTCTATATGCTTCATCTGCTTCGGTGTACCGGTTGTAGTGGCCGGCACGGGCAGGAGTACCCCCCCCCATCGCGGGGGCAAGGTGGCGCCTCAGCGCCCTCTGTGGTCGATGGTGAGCGTGGTGGCATCTGGTGGCGGACGGCGTCGGTATTGTCCGACGGGCCTCCTTCCAGACCGACGGTCCACGCCATGGCTTCCCTTCCTTGCGAACGAGTGATCGGCATCTTGATTCTGAAAATTCTGTTGACTTTAATACGGTAGTGTCTATGTATCCGGTTCCGAAATACAAAACGGATGAGATATCCGGCTCGAAGGACCAACGAATGTGCCGGACGGGCGTAACTCTCCGGAGTAAATGTTGTCGAAGATACTCCGCGAGCCGCTCACGTCCTACACCTATAGGTTCTGATGGATACTTTCACTACCGCCTTTGTGTATGCTGTTGGAGAACTGTGGACTGAGGTTCAGAATTAAAAATGCACGATTTATAAATTAAAATAGCAAGGGAGTGGCCAGCGGTTCGACTGATTAATTAGTTGCGAAATATTATAACTTATTTATTTATTTAACACTGTTTTTCAACTATGGTTGTTCACTATATATTTCAAAACACAGATTTAATTAAACACACAGTAATATTAAAATTTCTATTGGTTTTTTAAAATTTCTATTCGTATTTTCAAAATATCTGTTGGTAATATCAAATTTCTATTGGCAGTAACAAGTTTCTATTGGTATTTTCTACTATATCTATTGGTAATTTTGAATATCTATTGGGAGTAACAATTTTTTATTGGTAGTATCCAAAATTTCTATTGGTAGCAGCTGGTTTTCTAACACTACTGACTAGCAGCTATTAATCAGCTAAAATTAGTTGAATTTAACACTTTTGTAACTGCGAATATCAGTTACGACTTTTTCCGTCTAGCTAACACTTTTCACTATATGTAACGGCGAAATTTCCGTTACCACTTTATTCGGCTAGCTAACACTTTTTCACTATATGTAACTGCGAATATCAGTTACCACTCTTTTCAGCTAGCTAACACTATTTTACTATATGCAACTGAGAATTTTCAGTTGCCACTTTTTCCGACTATGTGTAACTGCGATTTTTCAGTTACGACCTTTTTCGGCTAGCTAAACTTTTTCTATTTCACTTTAACTTTTCACTGTGTTCTGCTACTAGTCACTTCAGCTACTACCGGATACTACTGCTTGTTACTGGTAGTTCTTCCTACTACAATGTTACTGTGATTTGCCCCCATAAGGTAGACTTCGGCTATACTCTATAGAGAGCCGCTTGCCAATTTCCGGTTTTGCCTTTTTATTATCAAACATTTTCATTATGTAATTTGCACAAATCGCAATTTTTCTATATAATGCTAATTTTTACACTAACACGCTATACACTATAAAATAGGCATTGTGGTCATTTATCATACTGTGATAAGGGTTACTTAATATATTTACATTCAAAAAAGTTATTAATCAAAATGTACCTAATTTACATAACAAAAGTGCACATTAAATCTTTAATTTTACTATATTCGCTAATTTCACTTTTTAAAACAATTTAATATTCTTTAATCACTTTTGCTTAAAGTCTTTAAACCGTCGCGAACACGTGTATATTACAAAGAGTACATTTTCTTTACTCAGTATATATTCTATTATATTCAGTTCAAACACGGAATGAGGAAAAGTAGCTGTATAAATAGAATAAAATAATGCAACGATAATTTTTGTGCGAGCACACACAAGAGGGGAAAATTTACAATAATAAAACCACAATGTATTTAAATTGATCATTTATTTCGTCTCTTAAAACACTTATGAAAATATTTTTTCGCCTTTATTTGAAATACATCCTCATCATCATTGGAGTCTCTCCTCCCTTTTAATATTTTGTTAATATCTTTACAGTAATTATTTATGAAAAATCTGCAAGATAAATTGATAACAAATTCTATCACTTTGTCTTTGTGTCGACTACAATTTAAAAAATCAAATTCTATATGCAGAAGTATTATTGTTTTTATGAATTCTTTCATATTTTCATAATATAAATTACGTTTTAAAATTTCATTGGTAATATCTTGCATTGCAGATATGCAAGAGAGGAGAGATTCGGAAGGACTGACAAGCCAACGTTTGCCAGCATATTCTCGGCGTTTAATATACTCATTTTCTTGAGAGGCAACCATGTCTTTAGTGCATTGCTGGCAATTTTTAAATATCTTTTTCCTCGCACTGCGTACAAAATATCCGCTCACAAATTGTACAGCGCCTAACACGCGAGGATCTTTTTTTTTTTCATTTAAGTCAGTTACTTGCACTGTGGGTATGCTCTCAACTTCACTGGTCACCGTGGCCTGGCAGTCATCTATGATGAGGGTGTATAAAACTTCACAATAATCTTTTTCACAATTTGCCCCAGGGGCATGGACACTTGATATGTTATTTATTAATAAGCTGGTGTAGGCACTTTCAAACCTTTCTGCTGTGGGGTTTGTATTGCGGCACCCATGGCTCCTAATAGCCCCGAAAAAGTTTTCTATAGGGTCTTGATTTAGGTGCCGCATCCAAACAGAGGTTACGCCATAATCGTTTTTTAATTTATTTAAAAGTATTTGAACACCATCTAGTGTCCATACCCAATTTTCCAAAGTAGGGACTTTTTCAGTTTTACCTGTTACAATGTTTGTAAATTTCATGTTTCTCAATTCAATTTTAGCTTTATTCCATACATTATTGTGACTAGAATTTGGTCTTGCAGGTCCAAGTAATGGCTTTCCATGTTGTTTCAGTTTTGTATAGCTCCCGTTTAATGAATCAAATAGTTGATCAAAAAAAAGGAGAATATCAGCTGTCTCTTTACATTCTTCAGGGAGAATTCCTTTGTCTGTGGAAAAAAAAATGTCTTAGCAACATATTTTAGAATTTATATATTATGATCCACCGCAGCTTCGCACGGGTTATTTCTGGATCTCGACAACAACGGCCTCTATCAGGTCCAATTGTGAATCCAAACCATCTATAACTCAAACACAAAAAATTTCATCAGGATTGGTTGAGTCACTTTCGAGTTTTAATGAGGCTAACAGATAGCAGTTGATTTTTATATATAATGATTTGTAGTTTCAGAAGTATTATGTATCAATTTAAACTTCAGTATGGATAGAACATTTGAAAATATAATAATAATAATAATAATAATAATACAGTTGACCCACGGTAATCTGACAAATGTTTTGCATGGCAGTGTTGGATTATCAAATTTGTCGGACTATATATAGTACCGTCACAGTCCCCTGGTAGTCTGGAACTTTTTTCCACATATTAGCGAAGAACACCTCCCTCCGTGGCGAATTCATAACACGACTCGACTGTATCTACATGTTATAGGCATATCAAATTACAGGAGGTCCGGGGATCCACTGTATTAAAAATTTGTGTAGACTAGATAGATAGACTAGAATTTTAGTATTAATATAATCAGTTACATCATTTTACCTGCTAAATATCCCATATTAGATGCTACTGTTTGACTGAAGATTTGTGTGGCATATTTGACCTTCATTTTGGAAATTTTATTCAGTATGACATGATTGTCTGTAAGCTTTGGCATTAGTCTTATACCTTTGTATCCAGGGTTTTCTTTGAGTAACAATTCAACATGTTGCCATTTTGCTGTTCGCAACTGCTTGTCACTTGCTACATATGTCAGGTTTTTAGTTAATAAATTATTGCGAATGCATTTTATTAGATGTGGAGGGTCAAACAGTGGAATGACTTCCTGATCATTGACAAGAAACATATTTTCTACAGGTTCTCGTCCAGACTTTATGAAAATCCCTCTTGTCTCCTGAATTAAAAGTTTAATGGCTTGCCTGTTATTGGTGCCTTGATCACACACTGTTGCTATCACAATAAGGCCAGCCCGCTGTAATTCTTTAATTACTTCTTTGAGTTGCACTGATAATTCCGGTCCACTTGTAGTTCCTGCAGAAAATGTGTACGATACGGGTTGTTTATAATTTTTTATCAATCCCCGTACCATGAACACTTGTGCATGATCAGCATAGTCAGGTCTGGTTTTCCGCCCATCAGTAGCGAAACCAATTACCTTATCTTTTCGCTCATTATAAGTTAAATTGGCTTTCAATGTCATTTCGTCAAATAAAACAATGCACAGTCTCTCTTCAACTTTAAACTTTTTTGTAGCTATCTTTATCTGAGCAAATATTCTTTTATTTATTCCAGGCTTTATATTTGCATGGTTTAAAAGTTTTGTGAGAGTTTGTGGAGTCGGTAAGATGAATATTTTTCTTAAAAATCTATAACACTTTGGACTTTTTAGTGCACCCTGCAAACCAACAACTGTGTTTTAGAAACATAAATAAAACAGTATACTACATAAGTTTATCTACACTAATACTAGCTATACTTAATAAAACCTTATTATGTGTAAGAGATGAAACGGATAGCTGTTTGGCGGGATACCGGATATTTGGCCACTCTTATCGCCAGATAGCCGAATATTCTGAAGTTCATCGCAAAAAGTGAACTTGCATATGTGGCACTAGTGGTGGCGATCGTGTGCACGCGTGACTCGGGCCACGTTCAGGTATTTCGCGTAGAAGCTGAAAGAGCTCACCAGGAAATTCTATTGGACTAGCAGTTCATCTTCAACACCGGCTAAAAATAGCAGAGGAGAGGAGACAGAGTCAGCTGTATTTCGCTAAGCTCATTACACATCAATTGCAATTTTGAAGAATTGCACACAATCGTGACCCTTCTTGTATTTGGTGGGCAGCTAATGCTACACAATACCCTAATTTATCAAAGTTTCCCAAAATCTGTCTTTCAGCACCCTGCAGCAGTGTGTACAGCGAAATACTTTTTTCTGAAACAAGCCTTGTTTATGAAGACAGGTGAAACTGCATGTTACCTTTCTATGCAGTTTAAATACAAATTAGTACTTATTCCCCATAATTTGCCTTTAGTGCAGTATGAGTACTAATTTTCTAAGTTTTGATATTAAAATTTTGTGACTACTGATTATATTTCTTATGAGGCTTAAATAAGGTACTTAACTAAATGTGATATTATGTATTTTTTTTTAATCCGGTATCCGGCCGAATAGTCATTTGTTGTCCGGTATCCAGCCGGATAGTAATTTAGGCCAGATAGGCCAAATACCGTGGCCGTGTAGTGGCGGTCAAGAATACCACTACCCCATATCTTCCTGATAATAGCCAAAATTACAATAAAAAAACTGCGGTTGCCAACCCGCTCGCCAAGCGTGGCAACTATGGCAATATACCCCCCCTAATGAAAGTTACGAAGAGACGGCCCCCAGTCCCCGGCGGCCCCGCTATTCCTGGCTACGGTGGCGACCATGGTAACGGCGGGGCAGGGGGTGCTAAGAATCTCCGGTGGAGGTTCGGTTGCCACCTTAGACGACTCGACCTGGCAACGTACAACGCACGCACCCTGAGGACTGACGAGAAGATTGTGGAGCTGGAAGAAGAGATAGACAAGTTGCGCTGGCATATTATAGGATTATCCGAAGTCCGAAGAGAGGGGGAGGACACGGTAATCCTCGAATCCGGCAACTTGCTCTATCACCGGGAGGGCGACCATCTGTCCCAAGGAGGTGTCGGATTTATCGTCCACAAGTCTCTCGTTAACAACGTTGTAAAGATCGGGAGTGTGTCGACGAGGGTTGCGTACCTTATACTCAGAATCACCAAACGGTATTCGCTGAAGGTCATACAGGTTTACGCACCAACCTCGGCACACCCTGATGGGGAGGTGGAGGAAATGTATGAGGATATCTCTAGAGCCATGCATTCCTCCAAAACCCAATATACGGTGTTAATGGGAGACTTCAATGCAAAACTAGGCACAAGAGAGAACGGTGAGCTGAAAGTAGGGAAATTTGGAATAGGGCAACGGAACCCAAGGGGCCAGCAGCTGGCCGACTTCATGGAGAAAGAGGGACTCTTTATGATGAACTCTTTCTTCCAGAAGCGGCCCCACAGGAAGTGGACCTGGTCGAGCCCCGACGGTTCGACAAAAATGAGATTGACTTCATTATGACGACCAGACGACAACTGTTCAGTGATGTCTCCGTGATCGCGAGGGTGAAAACTGGTAGCGATCACCGAATGGTTAGAGGCACACTGAACCTAAACGTTAAGTTGAAGAGGTCTCGTCTAATGAAGTCAACGCTCCGTCCCCCTCGTGCTCTGTTCCAAAGTCCCGAAACCTTTCAGCTCGAGTTACAAAACCGTTTTCAGTGCCTAGAAGACTGCAATGAAGTGGACGATATGAATGACAAGCTCGTGGAAACTGTCCATGCGGTCGGAGCTAAGTTCTGCAAGACCCGCCGCAGAAGAACACAAAAACTCTCCGATCACACTCTTAATCTCATGGCTGTTAGACGGGAGATGAAGCTACATTCTTCAACAGACTTGACAGCATACAGGCATCTGAACAGACAGATCTCCAAATGCATGCGGCGGGACTTACGCAACTTCAATACAGCTCGTATTAAAGAAGCGATCGAGCGGAACCAAGGCTCCAAAGTCTTTGCCAGAGATCTGTCTGCCAGAAAGAGCCACCTGTCAAAGCTGAAGACAGAATGTGGCAGCATCGTTTCCGGGACACCTGAGATTTTGAGTGAGATTGAGAGGTTCTATGGGCAGCTGTACACGTCATCGTTGGAGCCACACGCAAGTGTGAGTAACGATCCAAGAGCGAGTCTCATCCGACACTATTCCGAAGATATCCCGGACGTCAGTCTAAGCGAGATTAGAATGGCTCTCCAGCACCTTAAAAACGGTAAGGCCCCAGGCGAGGATGGAATTACAGCGGAGCTTCTGAAAGCGGGTGGAAGACCGGTACTTGAAGTCCTTCAGAAGCTCTTTAATTCCGTCCTCCATGGTGGCATTACACCGGAGGCGTGGAGCAGAAGTGCGGTGGTCTTGTTCTTCAAGAAAGGTGACAACGCTCTCTTGAAGAACTACAGACCGATTTCCCTTCTGAGCCGCGTCTACGTGCTGTTTTCGAGAGTCATTACGAATCGTCTCGCGCGCAGACTTGACGACTTCCAGCCTCCCGAACAAGCCGGTTTCCGAAAGGGCTTTAGCACCATAGACCACATATATACCCTTCGGCAAATTGTACAGAAGTCCGAAGAGTACAATTTGCCACTATGTCTGGCGTATGTGGACTATGAGAAAGCCTTTGATTCCGTCGAAATTTGGGCGGTGCTGCAGTCCCTTCAGCGGTGCCAAGTTGACTGTCGGTATATCGAAGTGTTGAAGTGCTTGTACAGTAGGGCTACGATGGCTATCCGAGTACAGAACCAGAGTACGAAACCTATCCAATTGCAGAGAGGTGTAAGACAGGGTGACGTCATATCCCCGAAACTCTTCACCGCTGCATTGGAAGACGTTTTCAAGCTTCTGGACTGGAAAGGATACGGTATCAACATCAATGGCGAGTACATCACTCACCTTCGATTTGCCGACGATATAGTCCTTATGGCAGAATCGCTGGAGGACCTAAGCACTATGCTCAATGACCTCGATAGTGTTTCCCAACGGATAGGTCTTAAGATGAACATGGACAAAACAAAGATCATGTTCAATGTCCATGTCACACCTATGCCGGTAGTTGTTGGGAGCACTAAGCTCGAAGTTGTTGACGAGTATGTTTACCTGGGACAAATAGTCCGACTAGGTAAGTCCAACTTCGACCGAGAGGTCAATCGACGGATTCAACTCGGCTGGGCAGCGTTCGGGAAGCTACGACACATCTTCTCGTCAGGTATACCTCAAAACTTGAAAACGAGACTGTACACCCAGTGCGTGTTGCCAGTGATGACATACGGAACTGAGACGTGGTTCTTCACTGCTGGCCGTATGAGGAAGCTCAAGGTCGCTCAGCGAGCTATGGAGAGGGCTATGCTCGGAGTTTCTCTGCGTGATAAACTTAGGAATGAGGATATCCGCAGTAGAACCAGAGTAACCGACATAGCCCAACGGATTAGTAAGCTGAAGTGGCAGTGGGCCGGCCATATAGCTCGAAGAACCGACAACCGATGGGGAAGAAAGGTTCTCGAGTGGCAGCCTCGTACCGGTAGGCGAAGTGTAGGGCGTCCCCCCACGAGATGGAGTGACGACCTGGTAAAACATGCAGGAAGTCGATGGATGCAGGTGGCTCAGGACCGTGCTTTGTGGCATTCTTTGGGGGAGGCCTATGTTCAGCAGTGGACTTGTGAAGGGCTGTAATGATGATGATGAGGCCAAATACTGGATAGTTACCAGATATATGTTTCATCTCAATTATATTATTAGCCTAAAGTTAATTTCTAAAACCCATTAAATTAGGAATTAACATTTTATGTATAAATTGTTGTATTAAAAAATAATCTCAAGTTACTGTTATATATTTTCTCAGCTACATTTACTTCAAGAGTAGATTCTTTTATCATGCTTGACAATTCTGGTATTGCATTCTCAGCTACATTTACTTTAGTTATAGTATTTGACACATCTGAGATGACAACAGATGGATCTGAAAAAGACAAAGTTATTGTACCTTTATAGTCACATCCCGCTCCAGCACAAGATAAAGTTAAAAAGTTAAAGTTACAGCGTATATACATCCCACTGCTGGGCACAGGCCTTTTCTCATTTCTGAGAGGGATTTTAGGGCAAGGAAATGTCTGGCACAAAATGAAGTAATGGGAAAATTATCTCACATATCACATCTAAGTCCTACTGGTAAATATAGAATATATTAAATAGCAGATCATACCTATGTTTTCTTCCATCCAAGCATATGTACTGGATGTAGCCAATGCATCAACCGCAAAATCTGAAATAGAAAGTATATGAATGTACAAGAATATGCATAATTGCACAGAAAATGTAGTCATTATCATACCAATTTCAAACAGCAGTTCAAAACAATTAGAATCATCACTGATCTAGCTAGCTATCTACCTTTTGTGGTTGACGGTACATGTTCTGGTAAGTATTGCATCTGTCGTAGTGGTCTTCTTTCTGCAAAGGTGAATTGGGGTAGGGCCAGTGGTCCTGAAACATACATGCGCAAAAACTTAGACAAATCAAATAACTAATATTTAAATAAAATAATCAGTACCTTTACTTAAAAAAAAAAAGTTTTATACAAGTGAACCAAGTTTCAAATTAAGTCTTAGAACCTTGAATTTTTTACCAAACGCTTAACAGAAATAAAATATGGGAGAATAATAGATTGCACTCAACTCATTAGTACTCAATTTATTATTATTATTATAACAAAATTATATACTGACAACTAATACTTCTTTCTATTGGCAACAAATAGAAGTATAATTGTTTTCAATTAAACTGCTATTTTAAGAAAGACCATAAATGGTTACTAATAGCAAAATTATATTGCCAAATATATTCAATCATACACTTCAACATTCATACAGTCAGAGATTATGTAAGGTGACAATAAAAATGTTTCATTGATTTTATTTTTCCCACACAAGTTATAGAATGGTCTATATCACAGTAAGAACAGAAGCAGCAGTCTTAAATACAGAAAGGTTGTCCTGAGATATAATTTAGGTAAAGCTTCATAACTTCTCCTGGATTTGAGAGTAGGCAGATATCAGTCGTTTTATAGATTAGATGATATTTCTACAAAAAATTATCTCCACACAAAGATTCCTTCCTATTTTATTAACAATATGTTTCTTCATCCACAAGTCGTACATTTGTATTATTGTTTCTTTATTCAAAAGGGCTCCCAGTGTTGGCTAAGGTTCCACTAATACCTAAGGTTAAACATATAATAATAATAATTCAAAACACATATTTCATAAGATACTTGTACTAACCTGGCAGGTTTAATGTTGGTGTAGCAATATTATTCAATCTACCATAGCGGCAACAGAACTTTTCTTCAAAGTGAGCATGACACACACGGCGGTGTTTGTATATGTCATCAGATTCCAACCCAATAATATCACCTCCAATAGAATGGACCCATATATTAAAGCGTAGTCTGTCTTTCACTGGATTCGGAAATAAATGCAGAGGCTTCTGTATACCTGAACAGAAATAAACATATGTTAATTTAAGTTATTAATTCTTATTTAAGTTACATAGTTAACCCAATCAGAGTGTGGACCAGTTAATTTTGCAGGTCCTTGGAGGACCTGCAAAATTAACTGGTCTCAGGCCAAAAGATTAATATGTACATATAACTTTATAGGGGTCTTGTCCAAGTCCAACCTAATTTACGTGGTAGAGCCATGCTGCAGCTATATTAGTAGTATAGTTGTAGCACGAATGGGTCGGCTCGACCGGGGAAGGACCACGCTCTCACAGAATACCAGCATCAAATAGCAGCTTCATGCTGCTGTGTTTCGTATGGTGAGTGTAGAGAACCAGAGACCCTTTTTACTGGAAAAGAGGCTGTTCTATCTTAGTCCTCACGGGTGACAACGCATCTGCATTTGAGGATAGATGTCTATGGGCCACAGCAACCACTTACCATCAGGTAGACTGTGTGCTCGTTTGTCACCCTATCCTATATAAAAAAATAATGGATCACTATTCCAAAAACTCATTTTAGTTTGACACTCTGACCAGCATGCGTAGCATGACAACCGTAGACAAGGGCTTTTTCGACGGAAGAGTAGATAAAATAACATTACTGCTTCTATAGTGTAATTTTGTCTAGCTAAACGTGTTCTTGTTGGGATACTATACGGAGCAGTCCAATCTAGTTTTTGTCTTCTCTCCCTCGACAAACCCTTGGATACATGTGTGCTACGCAAGTAACTGCAACTTGCATTTTTCTTTAGTAAGTTAGTTATGTCTTTGACTGGGCGCTAAGATTTTAAAGTAATTAAGAAACTTACTGTCTGAATCCATACAACCAAGAACACAACACTTTTTACTAGATAGCGACATAATATCTGAAGTCCTATAAATCACTAAAACAAAAGAATTTAACAAATATAACGAGTCTCTATCTCAAACATAAACAGTGAACAATTTCGCACAATCCAACGTAGACCTGGAGGAGGAGGACACGGCACTCAACTCAACTCAATAAACTCTACAAGAAAATGCAAAATGCAAAAATATCGAATTTAATCAAACCACCGACTGGAAGCACGATAAATTGACATTTGAGACCATTTTGTTTTGATTTGATTTTTTTTTTGGAGTTTATGGCCTGGCATCTAGACCTTTAGGCCAAGTCTTGAGTATTTTTATTCGGTTTATTATAATTTCCCCACTGTATTTTTGATGAATTTATATAGAGGCACGTAATAGGATCTATTTTTTAACATATCACTCAGGCGGCGGGAGGGATCTTGCACTGTCACTTGATTTTGCACTATGTCACTAATTTCACTGACAAGAATCAATCTGTCAAATGAAAAGCACTCACATGTAAATATGAAATGTTCAATATCACCAACAGAATTATTGCAGAAGGTGCAGTAACTGCTCTCCACTATGCCCAATCGAGCCAGGTGGGCCGGGACGGTGGAGTGACCAAAGCGCAGTCTATTTATAGTGGTAACAAAGTCCCGACTGGCCATTTTCAGTTTGTTATACCATGGTGCTACAGGTAGTTTTTCTTGAACAGTTCCATACCATTTACCCTTCTGTTCTTGATCTTGTTTCCAAAATTCGACCCATAAGCTATTGACCTGGTTGTCAATAGATTGATAACAGTCGGTCAAAGGTACTTTTACTATGGAGCTAACATCCAACATGTTGGTTCCATCACGTGCAATTTTATCTACTATCTCATTTCCTGTTATGCCCCTATGTGATGGAATCCACATGAAAGAGACCTGTATACCCTTTTTTGCATAACTAAATAACAATTTTTTAATATTATACAAAATATAGTTTTTTTTAAAGTCAAATCTGAGATTAGTTAAACTTTGGACCATACTTAAACTGTCTGTTAAAATTAAAAAATTATTAAAACTATTTATATGTGCAATCCTCTTCAGGGCCTCGAGGGCCGCATATACCTCTGCAGTGAAAACACTGCATTTAGGGTCCAGAAGAAAACTTTGACCAAACTTGCATTGTGGATCATAAACGGCACTGCGCACAAAGAGCTCACTTTTGCTACCATCTGTATACAAAGTATAGTAGTTATTGTCGGAAATAAAACTTAATAATTCACAATTATTAAAAAAATTTTTGGTAACAATATTGGTCTCAAATATAATACAGGAATATGGGTATGTGTAGCATGTCCACTTTGATTGTTTAATTACATTTTTAAAATCTTCATTCATTTGCTGTACAATGAGAGGCAAAACTGGAAAATAACCTTGTAAAAGCTCACCTCCCGAAGTCTGCTGGACCGAGCATTGTAAAGGAAAAGGTACTATTTTTTTGAGAACATTATCATTACCAGATACCAGCTTTAGTAAATATCTCTCTATTAGCAGAAGTCTTCTAAGACACAGTGGCATTATTTTGGTTTCAACTTCCATAGCTCGTATGGGAGTTGAACACATAGCCCCAGAAATAATTCGCAGAGCTTTGTTTTGAATTATGTCTAGTTTTTTTACACAACTACTATTTGAGTAGGCTAAACAACTGTAGTCGAAATGGCTTCTGACTATAGATTTATATAGCATACTTAAAACTTTGGGGTCTGCACCCCAAGTCACACCAGCTAAACATCTTATAATATTTAAGCCCTTAAGAGAGTTAGTTATAATGTGATTGATGTGTAAATTAAAACAAAGTTTGTTATCAATGACAACACCCAGGAATTTATGGTTAGATACAACTGAAATTGGATGATTATTGTAGAGTATGCCATTAGAGGGAAAATCTTTACTAAAAATCATGGCCTTGCTTTTGTTAGGGTTAATCTGTAGAGCCAACTTGTCATTATAATATATGTACAATTGCTCTAAAGCATTATTTATACTATTTACAGCTCTATCTACATTATGGTCTGTACAATATATTACAAGATCATCCGCAAATTGTAAAATATTTACACCTTCTATATTTACAAAATTAAGAATTTGACTAGTGTATATGTTGTATAACAATGGAGATAATGTAGCCCCCTGCATTGTACCTTTGGAGACCCTTCTGGGACCATGGAGAATATTATTATGCCTCATATACAAAGTTCTATCTATTAAAAAATTAAATAACCAATGGCAAAGTATGCCTGGTATACCAATGTCAGAAAGAACTTGAACCAAAATGCCAGGATCTACATTATCAAACGCACCTTCAATATCCAGAAAAACACAAACACTGGACTTATTATTATTATTGGCATATTTCAGATCTGACAAGAGAGAGATGAAGCTGTCAGCACAACTTCTGCCTCTCCGGAAGCCATATTGAACATGTGGAATGATGTTGTTCGCCTCTACATAACACTCAAGACGCATCTTTATCATGTTTTCATTAAGCTTTCCAACACAAGATGACAAAGATATAGGACGATATGAATTAGGATCTTCAGGTGGCTTGTCAAGCTTAAGTAGAGGGATTACACACTGTGTTTTCCAAGATTCAGGAATTTTTTTTAAGTGCCAAAGAGCATTAAGATTAGCTAATAGTTTCTTTTGTACGGACTGATTTAGGTTTTTGATCAAAATGTATGGACAATTATCTAAACCAGGGGTTGTGTTTCGTCTGGATTGTAAACTTGTACAAAACTCACTCCAAGTAAAGGGTTCTATGAGGAAACTGGACTTCTGAAGACTATTATTAATTTGAAAATAACTTTCTAGATTATCAATAACCCTACATCCATTTCGAGATAATTTGTCTAAAAGAGGGACTACAAATTCGTCTTTATATGTTCTATTATTGCATTTTATTCGTTTAAATAACTTGATGTATTTCCAAATAATACTAACAGGTGTAGTTCTGTTAAAAGTATTACAGATGTTAGCCCAACCATTGCGTTTATGTTCTGAAATAGTCTTTTTCTTAACAGCATTAAGTCTTTTGTAATTAATGTAATTATCAATGGTTGGATCTCTTCTGTACAGTTTTAAAGCTTCATAAGTTTTAATAACACTCTGTTCACATGTGTCACTCCACCAAGGTGCTGGAGGTTTGCAACGATAGTTGTTTGCTTTGACAAACTTTGGCACAGTATCTCTCCTAAGTGTATCAAGCCTTTCAATAAATTCATCATATGACTGTAATGGATTCTCATTATTAACTTCAAAATTAGAAAAAGCAGTTATAGACAGCTCATTGTATTTTGTCCAGTCTGTCTTGTCGTATAAGAATTTTTCAATGGGAGGATTAATTTGGTATCTATCAACTGACAATAAAACACGAGTAAGCGTAGGAAAATGATAGCTCCCCATACAATCATCATGCACCCACCATTCGCATAGTGGAGTGATTGAAGCACTACAAAAGCTGACATCAATAGCCGATGGATTTCGGTTAGGATAATTAATAGTAGCGAGTAGTGAGCAGTTCAAGTTGGGTTCAGGCACTGTTTTATTTACATTATTTACAATTTTTACATTTTTATTTAATTTATGTACATTTTGGTTTATTGATGGTAGGGTCTTAACAATGCTGCTCGACTGTGCAGGTAAAGACGGAAAATCAGATGACTTAATTGTATTAGCTACAGAGGCATAAGTAATTTTACCCTTTTTTTCAAGTATTTTTTTCATTTTTATTGGGCAAGATTTGGAAATGGCCAGGTGGGGACCACTGCAATTGACACAACACAGGTTTTCTTTTTTATCACAGTCTCTGAAATTATGTTCCCCAGCACATATCGAGCAACGTTGTTTACCATTACAAATTTTCGCAGGGTGGTTGAACTTGAAGCACCGGAAGCATTGTTGTAACGGTGGGACATATTCAAACACCCTGAACGAAAATAGGTCATATTGGATGTTGTCGGGCAGAACATTTGATAGGAAAGTTATACTGACCGTCTCGAGACCTACAGTACTTTGACCGACTTTTTTCGTGAATCTTCTCACTGAAATAATTTCATAAATCGAAGACAGTTTCGTATATAATTCCTTGTTCGAAATGTTGGTAGGCACATATCGGATGATTCCAGTTTTTTCTATCTGCGCTGCAGGAATATGCGCCTTCAAGTTGTGCTTTGTTAAAAAGTCTGTATTTGTGATGAAATTATTTGCAGTGTTGTATTGTTTAAAAACAACCGCAATTTTGTTGGCATTGACTCTATGTAAAGCTACCACACCTTTCACCTCCGAAGTAAAAATATGATTTAAGTAAACTGGGCTTTTATTTCCAAGTTTAACCTGTTTGTCCTGGCTTTCAACAAAAACTTTGAAGTCCGTATTTGTACAATGTTCAGGATAAAGTCTCAGATAACCTGGCTTAAAAAACGGAATAAAGACATCCTCACCGCCGCCTACTTCAGGTCCACTTTCCTTCGTACCTCTTTTACGAACAATTTTGGATCGTTTCGGGGTTCCACCTGGATCCTCCGGTTCATTCATTTTAACAATTAACAAAATGTACAATTATTTACACCGAACAGGATATTTTAACGATAAATATAAAAATTAAATCGACCGCCTCGTTTGAAGTTCCCGCAAAAAAAAACTGTTTTGATTTGATTTTTTTTTGGGGTTTATGGCGTGGCATCTAGACCTTTAGGCCATTTTGATTTGAATATCCCGTCCGGAGTGGCCGTCAATAAAATTTCTACTTCTACTAATTTCAAAACAATAATAGCAAAAATATATATTTTTAAAATGTTTATCGTGTAATATTATTTACTAAAATATTGAGCAAAATAATTATTCAATAAAAACTATATTTTACAAATCTCACGGGGTTATTATTTTCTTCTATAGTTTCATAAAATTCTACCAAAAGAGAATTAAACTCGCAAATTGTTAGGCAGATTATTATACCAATTTTAGGAGTACGATCAGTACAACTGGAGTTCGCACGATCATATATGTTTCAAATTTGGTACCATAATGTCTCGCCGGTGGCGCTCTCTGTATTACTGAGTATGGAGTGTAGAGTAGAAGGAGAACCATCTTATAAGGAGCGAAGGTTGAAAAAATGTCCTACTATTTACTGTAAATAGAAGTTCCAAAACCTACCACAATAGCGCTGGCGTCTGAAAAACTACGATATG